CCGGAATTTAGTAAACAATTTTGTAATGTGGGCCAAAATTTTGAAGATCCTCGGCCGTTAGCCAATCAAAATCGAGGTTCTGCCGGTCCAAATTTGTTGCGGCAGCTATGGTTAATGTCCGGTTGCTTACTGCGGCTTATCACGTGATAAGCCGCAGTAAGCCGCAGTAAGCCGTGATAAGCCGGCTTATCTTTGAACACTATGCGTTGCTCAAGGTATTATAACATATTATTAAATAGGATCCAAACTTATAACGATGTTAATAACTTATAACAATGTTAATTAATTAAAATAAAAATAATAATAAATATATAATATTTGTCCAAAACCAATTAAATTTAGTTTTGGTTTTGGACAAGGTTTTGGACAGGTTTTGGACATGGTGTCCAAAAACCAAAACTGTCCAATTTCCCAACACTGCCTTATAGCATGTCAAATTTTTAGCCACCTATGTATAATTCGATTTTTAAAAGCCATGTTGATATTTTTAATGTGCTTATATCGTATTTGTAATCAATCTAACAAAATTTGATTAAGTTTGACGTGTTGATTGGAATGGGACACGCATTTGCGTTTTTTTATATATTTAGAAAAAAAAAAGCTGGACGACCGGGTCTGTTCAGAAGTTTAATGATATGAAAACCAGAAAATCAGCTTTGCGTGGCCTTATACCCGAGGATATTGGAATACTCCTCGGGTATAATTAGAAAATTACTATATATATTAAAATATCTATTTAAAATATGTCTATAAAGTCTATAAATATTTCGTGCATTTCAAATTTGAAACTTGCAAATGTCAACTTTTGTGAATCAAATTAACAATAGTTCAAATTTACTAGTACCATCCCCACAGTTTTTTAAAAAAAACAGCCATTTCTGAGAAAACTCCACTACCATTAATTTTTAGGTTCGGTGTTACTGGATTAGGACGCGGCTTATAACCAGTGTCAGGTTTCTTGGGCAAAGCATATTTAATAGTTGCTTTTTTAAAACCTAATGAGGGATCAGTAAGTGTAAAATGTGCACCAGATGTGGTCGGTTGCGTTGTAGCGGACGTCCGAGAACTGAAAGCTAGTTCTTGAGCGGTGGGTTGTTGAACTGACAAGGAAGTCGTCGCTACTTCACTAATAAATAAAAAAATGAATTAGTCTGATGAACTAATTTATTGCTGATTAAAGAATAACATTACCTAGTCTGATTAATGTGTACATTTTGTGAAGGTTGCGCAGCAATTTCAGCGAGCGCTGACGGTGAGATAGTATTATTGCTCTGCTGTGCTAAAATACTAGGTCCTTCATCATAACTTGTCTCATCTTGATATTTATATTGCCTCATACTATGGTACATAGAATCACCCGCTAGCAAAGCCTTCTCACGGGCTTCTTCGTTTTCAATAGCGATCTGGTTAACAATGTCTATAATGCTGAGGCTTGGATTAGCAAGGGTGCGTTCTAGAATTTCATCTTGTGAAATTCCCACATTCTTGGGTACGTTTCTAATTAAAAGTTTAGAAGTTCTCGTGAGCGAGAATAAAATTATATCAATCTTGACTAAGACCATTTACTATATACCTGCGAAAATAAGGTTCTATCTCCATTCTTCGATATTTTCTAGCAACAGACTAAATAGTTTAATCAGAAGATCGTCTAATAAGCGGTCTATTTTTGAACCAAGTTTGTTTAATTTTACTGACTTTGGAATTGCTTAAGATCACCGGTTCGAAGAATTTTGCTTCCTGTGGTCCTAAAGCTTGACGAAAAAGCAAGACACGATTGCAATCTTGGCAGGAATGAACGTGTCCGCAAGGATAACATTTGTGCACTGGTTCATAAGTTTGCTGTCCATATGCGCGTCCAGCAGGAACGAGTTGTAACTGTGCGGCTGAGCGTGGCTTTGTGTCTGGTTGCATGCTAGGAGAGAAGAAAAAAAATTTGTAAGTATATACAAACTAAGTTTAGTAATCTTATAGGCATAGAAAGTCATCAGGTTACACGATTTGAAACCTTCATGTGACATATGTGCATTACTTGATGTAAAAATATAATTGGCTAATTCGATCTTCTCTCGTTTTTTTTAAACAATGGATTCAGAAACATACATAGCAAAAACTTCTGTCTTGACACCTCACAAAATATCTTTGCTTGTGCTACTTTCTATATACTTTGAGACTGCTATTGAAGATGAATTACTAGAAACACTTTTGTTCTTTTTGATAGAAAAAATATCAAATGAACATCGTTTCCCTGAGCCAACACTACGGGAATTTTGTGATGAAATTCATCGAAAGACTTGCCCATTGCCAAAAGTTTGCACAGAAATTCAACGGGAATGTAAATCATCATTAGAACAAGCTTTACTTACGCATTTAGCATCAATGGAATCTCCTCACGACTTGATTGAACTTGTAAAAGATTCTAAAAAACTGACAAATGAAGAAAATGACCCTCCTCTTGGGAAATATAGTATATTAGGAATTTTCGTTCGGCGTTGTTACATTGAAAGCGAAAAATTGATGTTTGATGATATCAGTAGATTATATAATGCATTTGTTAAATATAAGACTGACAAAATCGTGATGTTTTCGAAAAAAGGAAAAGAGAATATGGATTTTTACTACAAGTCTGGTGAATTCTCTTCCATTCTTTCAGAAGTTTCACATCGCTATCATATGTGCAAACAAGATCTTATAGCCAAGTGTGATGCAGAATCCTTTTCACATTACATAATTACCCAGCTTCGTAAATATGGAGGTATCTTACCTCCTGAGCTTGAAAGCAAACTTCGGGTGATACATAAAAGAATGCCCGAGATATCTACAATATACTATATTGATTACGTTAATTGTATGCAATCCGGCGAGTACGAAGGTGCACTGACTAATTTTTACAAATATTCAAATTTTTGTCCAGAGGACGTAGAGAACCGGTGGGTTGGTCTGCTATTTATCTCGTATGCCATGACCATAATACATAACGTATAAACTTTATGATTAAATTATAGGAATTGGTATCAATATGTTTTGTTAAACTTGGTGGTCCTTCATGCAAAATTTGGACACAAAGAGCAAGCATTATTGGTTCGTGTATAACTTTATATAATGCTTTTTCTTAATAAAATAGTGTTACTTAATTCTGAGCATCAATAGGCTATTCGTGAAGCAATAGAAATGGCTCGAGAAAACAACGATCAAGAGTGCCTTCGTTTTGCATTGAGGTAAACATCTTTTTTTATTGCATTTATTTCAAATATAGCTTAACTATAATGAAAGTTATAAACTGTAGCTGGTTGTATCGGCTTAAGTCAAATGAACCGACTACCACAAAACGGGTAGACGCGACTGATCAACAGATGCTCGATTCACTCATTAGCAAAGCCAAACAATCCAACTTCATCTATCTGCAATCACTTGGAGAGCTTGGGAACTCTCAACGTCAAATTCAACAGGTGAAATATAGATTGAAGATTTAGATTTAGACCATAATTTTACGAAGTTTAAACATTAACTTTTAGTTAATTCCAGGGCGCGTCACCAACAGATGTTTTTGAATCTTTGCTTCGAAGCTCTATTTTGAATATGAATTGCCCATTCAAGACCATGCGTTTCCAGGGGCAACTATTAAATGCAAGTGTATGGCAAATTTATGGTATTTTATTATTTGTAAAGTAATCATCTCGCATTAACTCAATTCATTATTAAAATTTTTTTTGACTTCAGGCAATGTTGCACTATCTGCCTTATATTCATCAGAAGTTATCGGTCATTCTGATACTAGTCCAGAAGATCTTGTAACTGCCTATTGTCAGATGGCGGATCTTGTAATTTCTCATTTATTTAAACTCATTGTGCGGAAATATCAACTGTTATTTTTAATCTATAATAAATGTAATATATGTACATATAAACGCAAATATATGTATTTTTTGATAGCATGTTTCATACGGTAATTATGAACAAGCTCTTAAATTGCTTGAAGAGTCTAAGGAAAAATTCCTTGGAATACGTAGAGCAGCTTTACAATGGGTTGTTTGCTTGGAAAAAGTCTTGTATCAAAGGTGCTTTGCAAGGTAAAAGGTTCTATTACTATAAACTAATCTAATCTCAATTTTTTGCTATTCGTTGTTTTTTTTTTTTTTTTGACAATTTACTAAATTATATTACTGATTTTTAAGAGATGAACGTGCAAGTATTGAAGCACTAGAGGTACAACTTCGAGGAAGCTGTCAGGATGACGAGGTTTTACATGATGACTTTAATTATAATCGAGCTTTATATCTGGCGAGAATTGACCGGCCCGATGAAGTGAGATATATTATTTGAATGAACTTTGTTCCTTGAACTTTAATATTCGATATATCTAAAACTAATAAATTAATTTATAGGCAATGAATCTTTTATATGAGCTCATACAAAAAAGCTCCAGATTAGGTTCGCAAAATCAAATGCTAGTTGCCAATTATTATCTTAAACTTGCTGAAATCCGTATAGTATGTAATTTGTGCCTGAATACTATTGTAACTAAATGTCAATAATAGAACAAATACATTGCAATTTTGACGTAGGACACCGAGGATCCAACTTCAGCATTACCCTACGTTTTAAGTGCCCTATGCATAAGTGAACGATTTCATCATCAAAGTTGTTATTTCATGGCAAAAATACGGCTTGCTCAGATATTGCTTCATTTTAACTTGGCTGCAAGAGCAAAAATCATGATCGAAAATATCATGCCTGTTGTAAGTTAATCACATAACGTTTTTCACTTTAAAAATCTCCATCTCTTGACGATGATACGTTTCTTTCTTTAATAGATTTTGGCAGAACACACCTTGCGCATGCAGTCAGTAGGACATTTCATTTATGCTCAATGCCTTCTTGGGTGCATTACTCTGGATGTAAAAGGTAATAATTTACTTCATTTGTTGAGAGTAAATTGAATGACAACTTAATATTCTAAATATTATAGCACAACGTGAACAATCCATACCATGGAATGACGTTTTAATTCCTCTTCGCCGCGCACAAACAGGTATAATCATGTTTCTGCTAGGTATTCGTAAATTTGATTATGTTTATAATTCTCTTTTTTTCTCTTTGATCTGAGAAGGCTTCCAGCGTTTAGAATCCGTCCCTGAATTGATCGATGTTGTGCAAGTAATAGTATACGTCTATAATGCATCTGGTGATTTGGTTCGGCGCGACAGTGCGGCTAGTTATTTCAAAAAATTGTATCTCAAACAACAAGAAAACCAAAGAAAGCAGCCAGATCTAGACCGTTGTTGTTGGTCTGGATACTGGAACCCCACTGGACGTCCAGATTTTCCAGCGTTCCAGTAATTCCTATGAATAGTTCACTGGAACATGTATATTATTAACCAATGAAAATGCATGAATAGTCAATTATATTTTTCTAATATACAATAAGTCCGTTCTAACCCATTTAATTGGTTAAAAAATAGTGCTAAGCTAAAAATTAAAAACATCGATATGTCGTCGGTTCAATTTTGCAATTACCCAACCTGTATTAAGATCTTAATAAAAATTTTTAGTTCATGAGTAAAGAACTACCCAGTAGCATCGACTTTGCAATCTAGAACATTCGAATTCTTAATTATGATTGGCTATATAAAAAATCTTAAATTTTTTAAAACTTTTAGTGAAGGTTAACTACTTGATCAAATTCAGTGAAATTTTTTTATTTTAATTATATATTTTTGCAGAATCAAAATAAAAAATTATTGAATTTGATTTTGGTAAAAATATTTTCAACATTGGAAAAAATTTTTTTTTTAACATTAAATAAAGATTTTTCAACGACCACCTGTACAAATTTGATGAAAATTTTTTATTTTAATTTTAAAAGTCAATAGAATTAAAACAAAAAGTAATTATTATTAAGAAAACTTTGGTTAAAGTCTAAAACAAGATTTGACTACAGCTTTTTTTTTAATAAATTTAAATAAGGGATTTATTTTATAGTGCTATAGCACATTGCTATCTTTTTATTTATATATTTATTTATGAAATAATTTATTTAACACCCCGGGTGAACTCTTAAGTACAAAATGAAACCGGCCATATTAATGTGTTAGGGTTAGGGTTAGGGTTAGAGTTAGTTTTTGGGTTAGGCTAGGGTAAAATTGTGAAAGAAACACAACAGAGTTACTATAGTAAAATTTTATAATATCATAATGTGGGTGAGGAATATCAAGCATTACTTTTGGTGAGGAATAAATATACTCTTTATTTATATATATAATTATATATATATATTTATCTGACAAACTCATATGATTATAAAAAACTTTCTTTTACAATGTAATTATGTGGGTGGTCAAAAGTAAAAACTGACTTTTTTTTTTTTTTTTTTTTAATTCTTTTTTTTTTTTTTTTTTTATTACTTCGGCAAGTCTAGAACTTGGTCCAGCTATTTTTATAGTTGACCCTATGCTACTAGTGTCACAGGACCTCCATAATTCCTATACGGAAATCATGTGTATCCACCTAGGATCCCATTGTCCGCCATTTCTCTGGTTCTCTCATTAGGGCCTAGATCTAACCGCCTGCACGACACTCCGGAAAGGTTGAAACACCTTAATATTAGACTGGGATTTCACTAGCCAATCCGGTGGCGCCATGAGTTCTTGTAGTATCTTCTCAAACTTTGGCCTCACAGTACGTCTTATAACTTCGGTTATTCCAAATCGGAGTTCTAACACGCCTCGCTTCACAGCCACAACTTCTCAGAATAACTATTCCCCCGAATACGTCCATCCCGAGTTCCCTATACCCCGTGGTGTTTTACTTCCATATTTGGGTTTTCATTATTTCGCTGCTAGGAGGAATTGAACCAATAACCGTCCAATTTGCAACCTGGAAGCATAACCACTATGCTATCGACCTGCAGGTCT